GGTCAAACCGCATAACAACATACGTTGTTCCCTTTGTCATCGGTATGTTACTTGCCCGAGATTCGATCGTCGGTATCTCAATACCTAGCTCAATCTCGTTAATTGCACGTCTCTTTACTCGTTCGATAATATATCATCCCACAACTAACTCATTAGTCACATTGCTTGCAAGGCTTATAGTGATGTGCATTACCGAGAGGGCCCAAAGATACCTCTCCGACAATCGGAGTGACAAATCCTAATCTTGATCTATGCCAACTCAACAAGTACCATCGGAGACACCTGTAGAGCACCTTTATAATCACCCAATTACGTTGTGACATTTGGTAGCACACAAAGTGTTCCGTCGATATTCGGGAGTTGCATAATCTCATAGTCATAGGAACATGTATAAGTCATGAAGGAAGCAATAACAACATACTAAACGATCAAGCGCTAAGCTAACGGAATGTGCCAAGTCAATCACATCATTCTCTAATGATGTGATCCCGTTAATCAAATGACAACTCATGTCTATGGAAAGGAAACTTAATCATCTTTGATTCAACGAGTTAGTCAAGTAGAGGCGGGGAAGAGGTCCATATGGGCCAAGGAGGACACGGAACGCGAAAGTCTAGGCATCCCAGACCCCTTGGAGGAGTTCACCGTCCCGCAGGAGTATGACGTCCTTAGGGCCCGGTACCATTGGGACCCAGTCAAGAAGGTTTTTGAGACGGACCCGGTCACGAGGGAGTTCATGAGACGGCTGGTAATTTTAGTTTCTGATCAATTTGACCGCATGTTTAGTCATATTTATAAACGATCCTTGTTCCTTTTGCAGAGAGAGCAGCACAGGATTGCGGTCGAAAGCGAGTTATCGTCTGAGGCGTTGGCGAGGCCCAAGTGGAACATCCCATTTAACCAGGCGTTGAACATATTGAAACAACTCCCGGTGGACACTGGACCGTCGTATGGATGCATACATGGTGTTGGAGACAGCGCCACGTGGAAGAAGTACTACACTAAGACCACAGAGGATAGAAAGGAAAGATAGAGGTTAACTGAAGAAAGCATCTACAAGAAGGTTGAGATTGCGGTTGAGTAGAATTCAGCTAAGACGGTCGCAACAACGGTAGCTGTCGTAAAACGGGAGTGGACAGTCTTGGTTCCGGTTATCGTCGGTTGGAGCAGGCGAAATCCAGAAAAAGATCCAACCGAATTTTCCCTTGACGACTTCTTCGGGAGCAGCTCGATTAGAGTTGCACCAGCACCTGCACCAGCACCTGCTTCGTCTTTGGCTGAGCTCGACGCCCTCACGGTACATGTCACACTGGCCCTCTTCAATAAAAGTATAATCTCCCGTTTCCGTTGCCTTTCGGATGTCTCACATCGCAGACATGTCTTTGCAGGCCGACGCCCCATGCACCATATTGTACGACATCAACGGCCAGAAGGTGGACGTGTGGAAGGCGACGATAATGAAGCCTAAGAAAAAATTGTTCCACAGCCGGCTGATCGCCCCAGACGCCTTTAGGGTTTTCGTGGCCAGTGTCAAACCGGGCCACGAGAATTTGGTTCCTCTGGTACTGGGGGGAGATGACGACGAGACCCCGCGGCGGCTGGGAGATTGCAAGACGTGGGTCCTGTTGTGGCCAAAGAGTCTGCTTTGTCTAGAGGCGGCCGAGAGCACACCCACGACCACGCAACCTCCGCAAGGTATGAACATCAGCACCCCACCTACCCAATTAGAGTCGCCTATCATGCTGGGTGATAGCGGACTGGGTGAGGAAGATGCTCCATTAGTCGCTGATGACGTCGCCATAGATGAGGATGAGGATGACGATGACACTCAACAGTATCTCAATACTGGCGCCACTGATGACGGAGGATCGATGGCTCAACGGTATGAGTACTCAGGGTTTGAGCGTCATGAGTCGGTGCATGATTTTCCGCCTCCGGAGCCTGAACGTATTGTAGATGACCTTCCACCAAACAAGCATCGGAAGAGAGCGAGGAAAGGCAGCAATAAAGCTGCTGCTATGATCCAGCCACCTCCGCAGCCTCGGGTTCAAGACCGTATAACTGTCCCCGGTGCGACGAAATACCATATCGCCGGTGAACCAATCCTACCTAAGGCATCGGTACAAGCCATACACGGAGATCTAAGGAGACTTCATGACAATGTGCTGCGGAGAGAGAAAAGCCTAATCGCCTCAGAAAATTTAGGATATCCACTCTACGTGGTTAATGTGCCGCGGCAAAGGTTGTACGTCGACACACTCCCGGCGGAGAAGTTCTTCCTTCGATTCGATTACATCTTTGACATGTTTCACTTGAAGAAGCTGGATTTTACGTTTGTCCGCCTTTATGCCTTGTACATGAACTACATCATCGGGATTGAGCAGATATCTTATATCTGTGTCGCTGACCCGTACTTCATGCATGAGAGCTTCTTGGCAATCTGCGCAAAGCACCGTGAACACGCGAGGGACTACCTCGTCAATTTCATGGTCGCCAATAAGGACAAGGAGACGATTCTCGTGCCTTATCATCCCCTGTAAGTCATCCGCGCAGATATCCTTCCTTTGATTTCAATCATTCATTTGCACGATGGAGACTAATTAATTTGAGGTGTACTTATTTTGCGTAGCAACGGGCGCACCATCCTCATCATACTTTACCCCCGATACTCCCACGCTCTTTACTTGGACTCATCAAAGAACATTAACAAAAATGATTACACCCACATCAAGTCTGTTCTCGATAGTGCTATCTTTTTCTATGGCGTACGGGGTGGAGAGGTCAAGATCAAGAAGACTAGGAACAGCAGGGCCGCCTTCGGCCATAAGACCGACTTCAGTTGCATCCAGTAACCGAGTGATAGTCTTAATGATGGATTATATGTCATACACCAGATGCTGGAGTACAGACGGGATCGGCAGAATCTGCGCATGTCACTTACAGTCAGGGATGCCAATATTTTGCAATGGGCAAGGAACGTAGGAGATATCGACGATCATCGTCTTCGAGCTGAGTTTTATCGCATCCAGCATGAACTTGCACAAATCATCATGAAGGAGGTCCTCGAAAAAACAGGGTTGTTCTACGAGGAAGGGAAAATGTCGCCGCAAGACGTCCGAACACGCGTAGCGGCTCAGCGTCTCGACCTGAAGCCTTTCACTAAGCTCAGGGACTATCTCCCTGACTTGGATGGATGGCACGACATGCTTGAGTGATTGTCGATATATGACAATGTGTCCGTTTAGTCCATACTTTATGTCTGACGAAACTTTGAGGTATGCACGACGAAACTTTATTTGTGATGTAATTAAACCGCCCTCCTCGACTAGCGAAGATCACTCTAGTTAGGGCATTTTGGGTACGATGAACTTTGTTATTTATGCTTATGATATGTTGCTTCTATTTTTGCCAAGTCTGTCTCTTTCTGTTGCTCAACTATATAAGTTGCATATAATCGACTCATGCGATGCAGGTGCATAGATCATCGATGGTGAAGAAGTGCTACGCCAGGAGTATACGGCGAGTGGCCGGAGTGTCAGGCCCAGGTGTACCGGTTTCCGATTTTCGAGCGACAGCTAGTAAGTAGTTTAGGTTCACGCTAGTGCGAGAGAAGGGTACAAACTCATGTACTGCATAGTTCCGCTCTCACTCATAGTGATAGCTCTTCTCGCGTGTATCATTATTTAGATGGATGACGATGTAGTTGCAAGAACTTGTATCGCTATTTTCGAGATGATGACGAGAGACCATTTTATGTCGGATGATGCTTATGATGATGACATGATTTGATGCTATGATTACATTTATATGCGTATGATGCTAAAGATTATTGTATAAAGCATGTTCATATACAAAACAAATATGCAGAAAAAAACTAATAAAACTAACAGTAGCGAGGGGAGTAGAGTTAGCAGCAGTGCATCCTTACCAGTAGCGCGTCCTGAACTAAAGCGTTGCAGATATTAGTAGTACCGAGTTGCCCAAAAGCCCGCTGCTTCTAGCCATGTATAGTAGTAGCGTGGGTCATCACGCGCTACTGATACATGTTAGATGTAGCGCCGTATCAGTAGCGCGGCTCCCCGCGCTACTGATACACCTAATACGCGCGCTACTGCTAGGCTTTTCCCTAGCAGTGTGTAGATAACAAAAAAGTATACCCTTACAAAGAGACCATTGAAATATTGGATTATGCGAATCAACATCTGGTTGGATTGTTATGACAACGGTGATATCCTCAACCCAGCAGAGTTCAAGTCCCTGACTTAACATTGATGCTTGTATTTTTCTGAATTTATTTCAGGCCTTTCGACACGGTGTGTTTAGTGATAGGAGACGTTCTTGTCAACTACGCCGTCTTGGTTAATCTCAAGATGATGTGTCGGCTCAGTCTTTTGAAACTACTCATAAGAATTGGTGTGCGTGCATGCATATGTTGGGGTGAGTGTATGACTCGCTTGCATCTGTACTATATTAAGAAAAATGCATTATAAGAAAAACATTCCACCATCTCCCCACACACCAAACCAACTAAGTTTTTTATGAAATCCTAACAATACCAACCGCAACGAAGCGCGCTCAATCTTTTTATTTAATGTCATGCATAATATCTAACTAGTAGTATATCCTAACGAATATTAACATCAATTTATATCTTTCCTAATATAAATATGATACGATTAATATCTTACCTAATACTCCTGCATCTACACAACTGCTAGTAAAACCAATCATTCCAACGCAACTGCCAGTAAAACCAACCATTCCACCCAACGAACGCCGATGAGGTGCAATCTGGCCGTCGGCGTTGCCATCTCGCCATCCAATCTGTACATATACACACATGGCCACATGCACAGCACACGAGACGGACATCCCTGGACTGGCTGGAAGCACCAGACACGGGCAGTCCAGGTCCCGCAAGTTTCTTCCTCCTGCCGCGCCTCCTCTCCCTCCGTCCTTGATATCTCTTTCCAGCGCGTGCCGTGCCGCGGTCGACCAACATGGACCGGCGGCGGCTCTGGACGTGGGCAGCTGCCGTCGTCGTGATCGCTACTGCTGCGGCGGCGGCGGGCCAGGAGAAGAGGCTGCTGGTGGGCATGACTCTCGTCCCGGGCGCCGCGTCGACGGGGGCAGGCAAGTCCGCGCCGCCTCTAATCAATCCTCTTTTCCTTCACCCGCGTTCACCCGGCCGCACATTGCCCTGCTCACCAGATGCTCTGCCTAAAGCTTTGGCATGCTAACCACATGGGAATGCCAATTAATGGTGCGCGTGTGAACTGCCGTTCAATTGCAGTGTGCCTCGACGGGAGCCCGCCGGCGTACCACCTCCACCGCGGCTCCGGCTCGGGCGCCCGCGGCTGGCTGCTCCAGTTCGAGGGCGGCGGCTGGTGCAACGACGCGCCGTCGTGCGCCGCAAGAGCCGGCACGCGGCGAGGGTCGACCCGGCTCATGAGCAAGCTCGAGGTCTTCTCCGGCGTTCTCAGCAACGATCCGGCCAGGAACCCAGGTACGGCAATCATCTTGCTGTTTCTCTTCAGTTACAGTTTCTTTTCAGTTTCTTCAGCAGAAACGCTTTCATAATACTTTTTCCAAGCAACGAACACGGGTTTGATTAATTGGAGAGGCATTTTCCCCGTGCATTCCTGTTTTCCTCGTACGTAAGTACCTTTTACGCCAAGTCGTCGATGATGATCAACACAGCACAGCACATGCATGTCTCCGTTCATGGTGATGGTGGTACTGTCTTGTGCTTTTGCAAAAGGTTGCGGCCAGTCAACAATCACCATGATCCGGTAGGTAGCACCAACAGTTTCGCTTTAACACATCTAGGCCCATAGCGAATTCAAGCTCATGGTCCTACAAGGATGATGATGACTGCCTCACATCTGCATCAGGCCACTGGCACAACTTCTGGTCAATGGAATACAGAGTTTCATATTAGTTCTCGTCACTACTAAAGATCTCTTTTATTTTTGACAATTCGAGCAGATTTTTACAACTGGAATCGCGTGAAGCTGCGGTACTGCGACGGCGGATCCTTCGCGGGCGATTCAGAGTTCAGAAATGGCGTACGTACTCTTCAAAAGTTTAAATCATATTGTGTACTGCATATGTAAACGAGCTGCTGCTTGCATTCAACTGAACTCCGTCTGCTCACTATTTGTACTGTTTGCCGCCCCGACATATGCAGTCTTCAGTCATCTACATGAGAGGTCAAAGGATATGGGATGCTATCATCTCCGATCTCCTCACCAAAGGCCTCGCCAAAGCCGAAAAGGTTTCTGCAGATCTCATCAGTACTAATCTATATACTTTTTGCATGTTTTCTACTAATGGTATGCTTTTAGTTAGTGCTTGGGTTTGAGTTACTAACACAAATCACTCTACAAGACAGGTAGTTGTGTAATTGTTAAGTCGGTCATGGTTTTGAGCAAGTTCTGAATCCAACAGGTGCTGCTCTCAGGCTGCTCAGCAGGAGGCCTAGCTACATTCTTCCACTGCGACAACCTCGGGGAGCTTCTCGGGGGCGTCGCCACGGTGAAATGCATGAGCGACGCGGGGTTTTTCCTTGATGTGTAACGCTAGAACTAATCGAGCAATGAGTTTACTTTTGGAAGGTTGATCTTTTGGTCAAATGTGTTAAACTTATGCCATTTTTTCAGGGATGACATTTCCGGCAACAACAGCATTAGACCTTTCTTTAGCAGCCTAGTTGTTCTGCAGGTTATTTGCATCAGTAAACCTTCTCTTTACACACTGATTTGGCTTAAGATGTTTGAGAGTTTTTTCAAGTATGTTTTGATTTTATTTTCTTAATTTTGATGTAGGGAGCTGAGAAGAATTTGAACAAAGACTGTCTAAATTCAACACTCAATCCTTATCTGGTCAGACTCTCCTTTCAGAGCATTGAACCACATTATGGGCACTGCAGTTTTACTGATCATACTTTCCACCCCTTCTGTGCAGTGTTTTTTCCCGCAATATGCACTTCAAAACATTAAAACCCCATATTTCATCTTGAATTCAGCGTACGATGTATATCAGGTAAAGGAATACATTGTACCAGTTAATATTTTTCACCAGCTGACCACTAGTAAAATTATTATTATTTTTTGGTAGTTCCATCACATCTTTGTGCCTCCTTCGTCTGATCCTACGGGTCACTGGAGTCGCTGTAAGGCGGACCCCAGCACATGCAGCACATCACAAATTGCAACTCTACAAGGTTACATTCAGTGCTTTATACTCCCTCTGTAAACTAATATAAGAGCGTTTAGATCACTAAAGTAGTGATCTAAACGCTCTTATAATAGTTTACGGAGGGAGTACAAATTTTCGCTACATGTATCAAACGAGCGGGTGTAAAGTTCTTCATTGAGTTACTGTCTTGAGGAATTTGTCTGCAGGCCTAAGAAGTGCAATGTTAACAGCTCTGAAACCGTTTGAAGGTGAGCCGGAGATGGGCATGTTCATCAATTCTTGCTTTGCACATTGCCAGAGCGAGCTGCAGGACACATGGTTTGCGCCGAATTCCCCAACACTGGACAATGAGGTACTAATAATTGATGAGGTTAAGTTGTACGCTTGTGGCCTTTTAGTGATGCATGGTGTTTGCACGAAAATCATTTTGGAGTTTCAGACAATTGCAGAGCTAGTCGGTGATTGGTACTTTGAAAGGGGTGCCGCCCAAGAAATCGACTGCGCCTATCCCTGCGACTCAACTTGTCACAACATTATACCATTGAATCAGGTCAGTTATTGGGAAATGCAAATGCACATGCAAGGGCGGGTGTTTGAGTTTGGGGTCTTTCTATGCAGGGTATATCTGTTCATATTTTCCCATGATATTTTGCAGGTCGGCAACTAGTGGATACAATGTGTTATGTAGGTTGGTTCATAGTGTTCTTCAGCTCAATACAAGAGATATTGGCAAAAATTTACTGTGTATTGCTAAGTTCATCATATATACTACAAATATATAGAAGAAATAGCTTGGATGCCCAGCATGGAGGTAGCATGTTTCGGGTTCGAATCCATCATTTCCATGTCTGTACATTTGCTTTCTTTGGTCCATTTTCTTTGACAATCATTCTTTGATTTTGGGACTGTCTATTTTGGGACTGAATTTCAATTGGTATTCATCTTTTTTTTTTGGCCAATCACAAACCAAAAACTGTATGCATTTGTTCCCTGTGTATGTCAACGGTTCAACTTTTTTTTTGAGAGAGAAATGCTAATGTTTCACGTATATGTACGTCAAAACCAGCCAAAAACTACTTAGCAGGTTGTAAAATTATTGATGGGTTGAACTGGACCCTGGTTGATTGCAATACGGCCTATACCCAGGAAGGGCTGCCAAGAAAGGCAAGCATGCAGAGGACAAATAGGCCTGGGCCAACACCTGAGAACACAAGAAAGAGCAATGAAAAGCCCGAGAAGAATAGCTAAAATTGGAAGAATCGAAAATCAACAAGAAAATAACAAATTCCATAACATATAAAGGGCAACCTGGTGCATGTAGCTCCCGCTTGCGCAGGGTCCAGGGAAGGGTCCGACCACTTTGGGTCTATAGTACGCAGCCTTTCCCTACATTTCTGTAAGAGGCTGTTTCCAGGACTTGAACCCATGACCTCATGGTCACAAGGTAGCAGCTTTACCACTGCGCCAAGGCTCCCCTTCAAATTCCATAACATATACTTTAGATAATAATTTTACCAATGGTTCATGCCGTTTTAGATCTGTTGTTTGGTAGGCCACGTGAGGCACCGGAAGAGGATCTAGTCTTGAGGATCAGTGGACAGTGGGTTACCAATTACCACTGTCTGATGAATGTGCCCAAAGGGCCAGAGGTTATGCCCACCACTCTGCTCAGGTTAGTGTACACGATGTGAATATAACAAAGGCAGAGTCATCTGTTTTCATTTTTGACAGAATCCAGTTCAAGTTATTACAAATTCAATCAGAAATATGAGTTCATCTGTAGTACTAGTATCTTATTGCGGATACACCTGATGTCAAGTTTTATGACTACAGACCAGCCCATCCAAGCAAGAACTAACAGTATGTTTCACCGTGTAATCTAGTTACGGAGTAAAAAATCACCGACCCAAACACCCAACTGTTTGATGCACTCCATCAGGGGGAATCACTCTACTTCAAACATCCCAGCAGATTTAAAAGTGCATCAATTTAAATAATTGTAGGGAGTATTTAGGCAGAAATATCACATGATTATTTAGATAATTTTATGTACCAATGATTCTAAAATTCCATCAATTTAAATACCATTATGGCAATTATAGTAAAATAACAGTGAATGGATATGGCCTATCATTCTTCTGCAATGATATAAATAGGGGATTTAGGTGTTTCGGAAATGAGAGCAAAGCCAATTCCAATCAAAACAGGAAAGACTCCCTCAAACTAAGGATCAGATGTTATTACATTGTAAGTGCACCTCTTTGGTTCTTAAAATGATAGGACTAGGGAATATGAAAAAAAAAATCCATTGTGAAGTTTTTCGTGATTTGGGCTTAATGGAATTTTTTTCCTTTAAAATTGCAAGTAAAGTGGATTATAAGAAAACTGTCTATGGTTTGACCCGCAAAAACACACACAAAAAAACTGTCTATGGTTTACAATTCTCCACTCCAAGCAAGCTACAAATGAAAACTTCCTAAGAAACATAATCCTCCAAAATTCCAATGATATATTATGAATCAAAGGGTCCCTTAGCTAGGATTCTGAAAAGCTGAAAATGAATTATGAAAAAAATCACCGTTTCGTGTATATGGCCACGCATCGCACCCCGGTATGGCGCAATCAACACTTCTCGATAAATGATAGCTTACGTTCATGTATTGCTGGTTGCATCACAACTCGTTTGAATCATATAGGAACAGGATGCAGAACCAGGGCTTTCAGATATTTGCAACTTTAGGACTATTGCTATCTTCAGACAAAAACAACAGAAATAAGATGCAGCTTTCACAGAACCCATGGTTCTACACTATCTCTTAGTCCAGTAATTGAGGTTCAAACCAGCCTACCAGAAGCACGAATTTCATGTTCCAACTAGCTAGGCCTGCGATGCAACCATAGCCCTTTCATCCGGATCGATGGCCGGGAAGAACCAGAACGAGTCACCAGCGGTGAACTCGCCTTGCCGGTGGTGCATCTTCTTCTTCAGCACCAGCATATCATCCGAGCCGTCATCCACCCACGATTCCGCCCAGAACCACGCGAGCCCAGCGCCACAACCGCCCACGTCAACGAGACTCAACGACGGCTGGTGCGCGAATAGCAGCATGCCAGGCGGCCGGCCCGACGCCGCCGGCACAGAGGCCGAGCACCCGCGGCCCAAAAGCAGGACACGGTCCCCGCGCACCCGGTCCTGCATCCACATCTTCTTGTCCCAGTCCAACCTGAAGAGCGCGACGCGCGCGTTGTGCTCGTCCGCGAGCACGAGGTGGACGTGCCGGAGCGACTCCACGAGGTAGTGGCGCATGCTGCTCTCGCCGAACGGGAGCTGGCACGCCGTGTTCCGGCACTCCACCTTGGGCTCCGGGTCCGCGAGGTCCGCGCGCCAGACCTTCCTCCTGCCGTCGACCAGGTACACCATGGCGCCGACGGTGACCATGTCGCTGGCGGCCGGGTCGTAGCGGAACCCCGGGGCGCGCAGGGTGAGCCACCCCTGGTCCTGCTGGCCGGGGCGGCAGTAGGCGACGAGCCTGTCCGTGGCGAGGACGAGGAAGCACGCCCGGCGGTCAGCCGGCGATGACGTCAGCGCGGCGTGGAATCGCCCTTCGGCGTTCTTCTCCTTGAACGGCCACGACAGGACCAGCCGCGCGCCGGCGACGGGGTTCGCGAGGACGAGGCGGCGCGGCGCGTCCACGGAGACGAAGACAAGCCACCCGCAGGCGGAGGACGCGACGCAGCGGTGGTAGCCCTCCCCCGGGACATCGTACGCGTAGGGCCGCCCCCCGGGGATGTCGTAGAACTGGCGGCGCACGTTGGCCGGCGCGGGCGCGGACTGCGAGGCGGAGGCCGGCTCCGGGAGCATGAGCCACGGGAAGGGCGGCGGGCGGCGGCCGAGGCGGCGGGAGAAGAAGCGCCACGCGCGGCAGACGATGCGGAGGCGGAGGTGGTCGGCGAAGGTGATGTAGGGGGCCAGCGAGGCGAAGATGCGGTCGCCGGGGAGGACCCCCCTAGGGTTTTTCCCCGGATCGCGAGGCGGCGCCGCCATCGCCCGGTGTCGTCGAGGCGAGCGACCCATGCAACGCAAGAGGCGGGCCGGTTGGCTGGTTGGTTGGCTCGATCGATCGATTGGTCTCCGGGAAGCGCACGCGCCGCAACGATTTATGTATGATCTGGCGCCGCAATGCCCATAAATGCATCGGATTTATTTCATCAGATTTGGGCTTATTTAAAGGAAATCTTAGTATTGATCCAGAATATTTACCAGTTAATGCATCCTATCGCCTGCCGCGTCTTCAGCTTCAGCTTTCGGTTCCCAGTGATTGATGTCATAATTTGATTTATAAAAATCTGCAATTCGTGGTAGTAGAACATAAGGGGAAACCAATTATGGCTGTTTGAACGGGCTATGTCAAGGAGCGTTTTTGGTTCTCATTTGCGTCAACATAAAATACAGTATATCTAAAAAATTGCCCGCCACCCTTCAGCTCTGATGTCATCTAGCGGCTGAGCGCCCCCCTCCCATTGAAACATAGGTAGTATTACATAATCCTGATGGACGATGATCATATTAATTTGGTCAGCTAATGCCCCACCAATGATTCAAATTTTTGCTTGAAGAGTTGCTACAAATCCGTTAACTACATCGCAAAACAAACATTTGAGAGGGCCGGAGGTTTCAAGCACATGTCTAATTTGTGATTTGAAATCAGACATCACTATTTATGCATTATGTAGAGGTCCTACGGTCGTGTATTTGTGCTTGTTGATGTTCGACATATAGGTAGAGAATGGCTTCTTCTGGCCCTTGAACCTTTGGCTAATATCAACAAGCTGATGACTGTTTAGTGCTGCTGGCATAATCGGAATGAAGTGGCGCATGATAAACATGTGCCACCACTAGAAGTATCACAAAGGTTCTTATTTAGCTACCTCGAGTCACTGATTGCGATGAAGTTAAACTCTACAGCCGGTCCTATTAAAGGGGAAATGGTAATCTCTTTCGGTCACCACTCTGAATCCTCACATGCGTCTGCACACAGAGAATCTCTTGTGATTAAACATGATGATAGTCCCAAATGGTACCCACCAGTGGAAGGTTGCATGAAGCTGAATGTAAGTGGATCTTTTGTCTCAGAAGGAACTACGGTAGTAGGTATGGTTTTGAGGAACAACTCCAGAGGAATTGCGTCTTCAGCTTACAAACAATTATTCTTGTGTTGGAAGGCTCTTGAAGCTGCATGTTATGCTTGTATGGAGGGGTTATATTTTGCTCTTCAGAGATGTGACTCCCCAATTGCAATTGAATTTGATTCCTTAACAATTGTGAAGATGATCCAAGCACGGGAAGTGGATAGATTGGTCTACGCCTCTCTTGTCAAGGAGATCAAGCATCTCACGTCTCTTCTTAAAACTTGTATTACTCATATTAGACGCTCTCAAAATAAAGTTAGTGATGTGCTTAGCTAAGTTTACTAGAGTTAAGGGTATAACCACTTCAAATATATTAGAGCAAACACTAGCTCAGACGACATTGTGGTTGAGTAATACAAGATTTTTCACCCTGCAAAAAATATTACAGAACACTTTGCAACAGAGCTCATGTCGCAGAAAGTATGTTGCAGAAAAAAAAACATCATCATTTCTTTTGCAACATAGGTGTTGTTGCGG